CGAATACATTGTGATATACTGCAGCTGCCAGACCAGAGAGAAGAAATGGCCCCTTCTGGGGTATGTGGTATATAGTTAAGGAACCCTAGTGGTGCTGTCGGGTTAGCATTGGACTGTTAACCCCAAGGCCTTTGGTTCCAAGCCTCTAGGCGCTCTGGGGGAGAAAGATGAGGTTATCGGCTTCCATAAAGATTTACAGCTTCAGAAGCCATGGATAGGGTTGCTATGAGTTGGAATTGACTCGGTAGCAGGGGATTCCTTTTTATTTAAGGATATATTCGATGGCAGTGGGTTCGTTTTTATTTCAGGATATATAGTTAGGTCAGCACAAAGGTTTCAGAAATGGTGGTTAGAAAAGGCCGCATTAAAATTCCCCCATGGAGTCTAGACTCCTGTCAAGACTGTGAGATGGAGGTAGGGCTCTGCCTTCAGACCGCTCCATGGACATGCACCAAGGGCCTCAGGTCTCTTGAACAGAGTATTTCCTGAGGGCCTACTGTGTGCTGAGCCCCAGGGCTTGTGCAGAGAAGGAGCACCTGCCCTTCTGCCGCTTGTCCATACTCGTCTGTGTCCAATTTCTTCCTTTTCTTTCATCTCAGCATAGTTTTGAGACTGTCCACATCTTTGTGTATATCAGCAGCTGGTTCTCTTTCAGGCTGTGTTGTTTTCCGCTTGTAGGGCCGGATAACACGTTGCTTATCCATCCACTTGGTGATGGATGTCTGGGCTGCTTCCCGTGTGGGGCTCTGTGAGTAAGGCTCAGACCGTGAGCATTCAGAGTCTCGTTTTCGTTCTGCCCTGTGCATTCATTTCCCTTGACTATACACAGGGGAGTGGGCTGTCAGTTGGATGGCAGGTGTGTGCTTAACGTTATTGCTGTTCGCGGCAACGACAGTGACTCACACTGACTCCAGGCACAATGTAGATACTGTTGCCCAGTCCTCCACCGTTTCCATGTTCAGGTGAAGACCAGGCTGTTGGGGCCCAGAGTTCCCCTTGATTTTGGAAGTAGATTGCCAGTCCTTTCTTCCAAGTCTGCCCTAGTCTGTCTTAACCTGGAAGCTCTGTAGAAGCCTGCTCAGCATCACAGGGACACACAGTCCCCCTCCACTGGTAGGCTGGTGCTGAGCATGAGGTGCACTGGCTTGGAGTCAAACCTCATTTTTCCTCCGTGTGGGCTGAGACTTCTCCCACCTTACTCCCCTCCCCTCACCGCAATCAAGTCCGTTCTGACTCACAGCCACCCCACAGGTCAGGGTAGAACTTCCTCTGTGGGTTTCTGAGACTCGATTTCTGGGAGTAGAAAACCTCTTCTTTTTCTTACGGAGCAGCTGGTGGTTTTGAACTGCTGACCTTGTGATCAGCAGCCTGTCATGTAACCACTATGCCAACTGGGTTCCCACTGGACTACTGCCCTCTTAACTTGATTAGAAACCACCCAGTGCTTCTTCACGGGGGTTGGACCACATGTGACCCCCCACTTGCAGGGCTGTGGACTCCCGGGGGCCAGCCCTTCTTAGTTTCCCTTGGTTCCCTCCCAGCGTCTCTCTTGCCCCCACCCGCTGGACTCTACCACTCATGGTTCTTCCTCTCTCTCCCCAGATGCTCCGAGATGGGGAAGAAATGCGGATTTGGTGAGTCACCATGTCATTTGGGGTCAGTTGCTCTGGCTTTGGGCTCTCCATCCCCAGGTCCTTCCCTTTGAGCATGTGGGAACACAGGGGACCCGGCCCGGGCAGAGGCAGCTTTACACTAGGTCTCCCACAGCCCCTGCAGCGGCTCCTTGAACCTGCTCTTTCCTCATCGGGGGTAGAGGCAAGTGATCAGATCTCCCTGGGTGGGCTCAGAGTGGGGTGTGTTATCCACACCAGACCCAGTCACTGTCGCTCCCCAGTATGTACTGGGTGACACCCGTGTGCCTGCCCCGAGTCCCAAGCTGGAGCTACACGGTGTGCAGACACGTGTGTTTCAAACTCGTGTGGAGTCACGAGGAGTCCATGGGAGACAGAGTTTGACAAACGCACGCACAC